GAGGTTATCTCATTTCTGAAGTAGCAGTTATAACACTACAACAACAACAACAACAACAACAACAACAACAACCAATAATGACTTGATGAATTGCACCACTGAGGAAAGGATCTACCCAGAGTATCTATTAGTGCTGAAATGTAAAGGTTTAGCCCCAATCTTAGGCGTCTGGAACTAGATCAAGTGTAATCATTCTTTTTCAACTGAACACATACATCAAAAGACAAATAGGACCCAACTGGAGGAGTACCCCAATCGCTGATTGGCTGTTGTAAATAGTATATAAGAAGAAGGTGCAGAAAAGAAATCTCTACGTTGAAGAAAGTGTAATGGATCGGCACATTGACCAGTTCTTTATTGATCACATTTTGCCTATACTCTTCCCATCTTCAGGTTTGTCAAATCTGAACATCTTCGAGAGAAGCGCACTAATTACTCCTCCTCCCTACAACCCCAATACTAATGCCTCGCAATCATTTCCAATTTTGGAATCACTGCTGGATGAAGAGGTGGAGGTTCCTGCACGGGCATCTCGAAACACTCCTGATGCAGGCAGTCAGCTAACTGTAAGTTCCCTTCCAATTGCGTGGCAATGATTATTCACTTTAGGCTACACTCTTCACCCACCCTCCTAGAGGCCCCTCACAAAGTATATTACGTATGTGCCTCTCAATTTATTTCAACTCTCATAAAACTGTTTAAGTAACTGTGAAGTTGACATTTTAGGCAGAGCATTAACTGATCCAACTTACTTACAACACCAATTGGATGAGCTGAAAGTGAGAAATCGTGGCAATGCAAAGACAAAGGAACCGGTGAAGCAATGGGTGGCGAAATATTCCACCAGTGAGGCCCTAGCACTGAAACTGCCACAGGTGACAACTCCACTGTCATCTATGCCACAAGACAAACGTTTGCAAAGCCCTTGCATATTCAACCGATATTTCCAAGGAGCTCTATGCACTTGTTCGGCAGAAAACTTTCAACAAGCTTCAACACCTCCAGAGGTACCTCTTCCTTCTCCTCCTCCTCCTCCTCCTCCTCCTCCTCCTTCACCTCCTTCACCTCCTTCTCGTCCTCACATACCAGTGAATGCGATGGTATCCACTGGAGGCCTTCCTAGTATCCAGCAAATTTTCAGGCATCCATAAACACACAACCTCCACTCGATGTATTTCGTGTAGAATTGTGCTTTTTAGTCTGAACATCTATTTGTATCATCTACACTACACCTCCATTTATAGTATCAACACATTCACCTGCAATTTGATATCAGAGTGCCACTTCATTGGAGGTTCAGGGAGTAAAACAGCGTTTTTGTCTAATCCAGCTCTGCTTCTTGGAAGACTTCCAACTTATGGCTTAAGAGAGCACGCGGCTACTTCTAAAAACAGGTTTATGTTGGCACTACCTGGTCTGTATGAAAATACTACTGAACTTTTTCAATAAATGATATTTCTTGTGAATACTACCACTTGGAAGCGTTGTTTCATGAGATACTAGTACAATTTTGGTTGTGGTAGAACAGAATTTAGTCGATTGCAACCGTCAACGCGACAAGCAACAAGAGGTGTTGTGACTGTTGACATGGTTCTGGAAATTTGTAGTGACCGTCGATCGAGTCGCCGAAGTCGCTCTCAAGGCAGGGATTATCATCGTGGCTGTCAGAGGAGACGGTGAGTTTTTCATTGCAATTGTGTCTTTTCTCTAATCTAGTTACCTATTAAACCATTGAAGTTGATGTTGGCAAGAGTTTGTATCAAGAAGGCTGGAAATAGGTGGCTCGATTTTGAAGTCTCTACTAGTTGGAATTAATATCTGAAGCCTACAACGGGGTAACATGTATTTGTTATGCCTCTTTCGGTTTACTCGAGTGTCTTTCTCTTATGTCTAATTTGAATACAAGAAATGATTTTGAGATATTTTCTGTCGAGGTAAAACGGATTTGTCATTCGCGTTCTACTGGAAAAAATCATCATGTGGTACGCTCTTCCAAAGTACCATCTTGACATCTGGAACACCATTTTGGTAGACTAGATAGCGTGTCATTTGGAATTTAATTTAGAATAAGTTGATATTTGCTATTAACCTTGAAATCAAAATCATTTCTCGATTATGCTCGATCTTAATGAGCGACATTTTCTGAATAATAGTTTGAGTAAGTCTAGGTGGAAGAGGTTGTTAAGATCCTCCACTCCTCCGAGATGAACTCTTGTAGGGGCTTCATCTTCTTCTACTTCTACGGGCCTGTTGATGATGGAAATGGCTTTGTCGGACTTCTAGATTAGTCTCGCCAAAATTTATCTTTGATTGTACTTTGTGGTAGGATTTATCTGTAATTTCTATCTCTAGAGAAATTGGTTTAGTGAGTATGTGTTAAATAACCAAATTGATATTTAGTGTAAATGTGGTTTCCAAGTCCATAGGGTAAGAGTTGAAAACCAACTTTTTCATTTATAAACAGATATGAAGTAGATCTTGATCGAAGATACGGTGGTCGCGGTGGTCGTAGCTCTCGACGGCATGGATCAAGAGAAAGTCATCTCGAGTGTTATCGTGTTCGTAGTCCAATCTCAGCCATTTCTCCCAGACAGTCTTTGAATGCCCATGAATCATCGTCAGGTTCGAGACGGAAGGCAGTAACTAAGAAGTCAAACGGACGTGGAGGCGGAGGAGGAGGTGGTGGTGGAAAGAAGTTCTATCGAAGCAGTCATCGCAGCAGGCGTCATCGTCGATCACCAACACCACGTAGGAATCGATTACCTTCTACATCTCGAAGATCTCATCTTCTTGAAGTTGGGATTGATTCATCTTCGACGACACCTTTTAATCCGCTGGAACCGGTTTCGAATGCTTCCACTGATGTTAGTGCGAAACAGCGTCGATCATTAGTTGGTGTCTTCTATAAGTGTTCACACATTCAACGCTTTGTATATACTCTGCACTAACATACACTCATTCACTTGTAATGCCTGTTTTGTAAATAAAATGCAAAGAATGCGCATTCGCTACTTGCTCAGTTTATACTTAATTATGGGTTTGTGAGCTCATTGATGTTTTGCGTTCCAACTCGATTATCACACGTTTCTACTTATCAGTAATCAGTAATAAAGTTGTTTGAGGGTTATTACCATTGATGAAGTGGATTGATTATTGACTTAATAGAATGCTGGCAAGAAGGTTAGTAGGAATAATTGAGTGGATCCAACCTTCGCAGTGTATTTCCAGATTTGTTGGTGAGTAGGGCGTGCACGGATTGGCGTTTTGTGGATAAACAATAGAGGAGGAGCCTGTAATAGTTGGCAGTTTTAAAACACTTGGAGGATTTGTGTTATGATTTGTGCTGTGCTCATCTACTCTAAATGAATTCATTTGAAGGCCGAAATCACGACTAATTTGGGAAATCATTGATAGTACCATCGAGGAGTCTCCTCTGTGGCACTCAACTTCGTCCTACCAATCGGTTCACCAGACTCAGTTGGTGCGGTTGCCTATTCCACTCGCATGAGGCGCACGATGGAAGCAAACTCTTAACCTCTTTTTTATATCTGCATTATCTTCATTACAATCAATTAGTTATGTCCAATTTATGCGATTAAAATATTCACATTCACAGCTGATTTACATGAAAAAATTTAGGAAAAGTGATCAAATCTAAAATGATTGCACCCTGTCCTAGTATGGCCAATAACCACTTGACTTTTAAATGCTTCATGGCAATGCAGTGCTTCTTTTTACGGGTGTGTTTAAAAGTTTCCACATCCATTTATCACACACACGATGAGTCTTGTCGTGTCATTCACATTAAAC